TCTTTTAAAATACTGCTCATCTGCTTAGACACAAGAAATTTACAGTTAGTAAATTTTGCAAAAGTAAAAATCGGATGTCCACTTGTTTACCAGAACCGTCTGCTGTGGTATCCTCTCCTGTTTTCTACTGCCCTCAGCAGATTTAACAAACAGCCATCAGTAAACCCTCCAATCCTCAAAAAAAAGTCAATAAAAATAATCATATTGTGAAATAAAGTGAATAAATAGAATGATGCAAAAATAGTAAAGTATGTTAAAAATAAAAAGCAAAAGAGACATAATTTAAATATAACTTTACAAATAATGTTGACAAAATATTTGTGTTCATTTTTAAGCTTTGAAAAAAAAAAAACAGACTGATATTAATTAATAGTGTTGTTTGTATTGGTTTTCATATAAATGTAATGAACTGAATGAGGAGTGCAGGGCTTTGTTCATAAATTAAATTAAGCCGATAATGAACGTGTTCAGTCTGAGGCCTGCTCTGAGGTCTTCACTGTTGTTCTCTGCAGTTCCAGGTGCAGGTGGATACGGGTATCCGTATGGAGGTACGTTTCTCAATGTTTCTTGTTAGACGCTCATCGATGTGATGGAAACGACAACATATCATATATGTAACCTTTGTGTCAGTTCCTTACGGTACCGGTATCGGCACCGTGCCTGGGCAGGGAGCAGGAACAGGAGTGAAATATCCAGGTAAAGATATTTCTTTTTCACTTCAGACAATCAATCAAAACTGGTTCTCAAAGAGGTGTGAGAGATTTTCACGTTTCTCATGCAATAACCAAGTCGTCTTAATTCAAAAAGCACATTTGCCTTGCTGTGCTGTGGCCTCATGTGTCTCTCTGGTGTGTTTTGCAGTTGCAGGAGGCAGAGTAGGAATCCCTCTGGCTGCAGGAGGCTACCAAAGTCAGTGCTTGTCTATAAACTCTGTGGTTTATGAAAAACAAGAATTTATGAGAAATAATGTTATTTAACATACCCATATGACATAAAAGGATACAGGGGAAACCAGGAGGTCACAAAGACCTTGTAAAAAAAAAACTAAAGCCACTCAACATTTTCTGTTAGTTTGTTTCTCTATCTGACCAAACTGTTCTTGTGTTAGGATGCCAGAGTAATGTGAATTCAAAAGTGTAGACATTAAGTTCAGAGTGCATTTTAGGAAAGGTCAGATGATGACTTTTATGTTTCTGGTAATTTATTCCCAACATTTGAGTTAAATGGAGTCACACCTGTGGATGTATTTCAAGTGTAAAACCTCAAGCACACTCATTCCTGGTGTGACACCATTGAAAAATGAAGAGGAATCCGTCAAGAAGTCAGAGATGATTGTGGACATTTACAAGTTTGTCTCATCATGGGGAACAATCTTCAGATCCCTGAAGGTGCCACATGGCAAATCCAGACATGATGCTATTCAGGGAGGAGATGGGTTCTGTGTTCGCCAGATTACACCAGTTGCACCAGGTGCAAAATATTGAGCATCTGACTAAGAGGAAATGTTAAAATTACTCTAAAAGCAATATCAAAAGTCAGAAAATAATCTGGAAGTAAACCGAGGAGCAAATACCTTAGTTTATGGAGATATTTCTTGTTGTCTGATGAAGCTAAAATTAAATGTTTTGGTCATAATGACTGTCGTTGCAGTCCTAGACATCCTGCATGTTTTGTAGCAGGAGAAACGAGGTAAATGTATTTTTATACAGACTATGTAAACATCTGGTTTCAACTGAATATGACAAAGAATTCATGCGTCTTCAACATTTGGGTGGTTTAGCGTCACACGGTCAAGATTAAAAACAGTGTTGATATAAAAGGAAAGGAGCATGAAGAGCTTAATAACACACAGTTTTCCCCTGACAACACAATTGTCCGGCCCAGCGCTCAGGGTGACAGTTGGTCAGGACGTGCCGTCACATCGCACTTCCTGTGCAGGAAATCGGCCAAAACCCTGATAAGTGACGAATGAGGAACTGCTTTGATGCCGTTTCAGAGCAGAAAGTATTTACATCTTGTCTTGTCCTTCTGCATTTGTTTCTGCGTTGTTTGTGTTTCTTTGATAGCCTATAAAACAGTCATTTCTCGTCTCTCCTGAACCCTGTCTTTCTTTGCTTCTGCGCAGGTGGACAGGCGGGAGCTGGTGGTGGAGTCAAACCACCCAAACCAGGTAAAATACCAGCTCTCGCTCCGTCACAGCAAACCCTAACTTATCCTGGTTCCCCCTTTAAACGACGACGAGATATTTTTGCTCATATAATCCCAACACAAGAAGAAGAAGTAGTAAGACGTCCAGTTATTTACCTTATAAAGCCTGCAGAATCCAGCTCTACCAAAAACAGCAACCCCAGGAGGGTTTCTGCACCATTAGGAGTTTGCAAATTGTTGGTAATACTGAAGATAACATCACAGTTAGTTTCTTTTTTTAATCCCCCAAGAAAACAAGCTGTGGTGGAGCCCTTCCCAGAAAAAAGCTCAAATCTGTTTTGAGGAATTCCTACATGACCTGAGATGAACTGTGTCGTCTTGCCAGAAAGAAGAAACAAAATAATAAAAATGAAATGTTTTGGCAACAAAAATAGTCTTAGCATTTGCTCTTTTGTGCTGTGTTTGATCAGGTTATGGTAACCTTGGAGGAGGAGGAGTATATCAGCCAGGTGAGAGTCACATTATGTCGCTCTATCTTACTTTAAAACTGTAAATACAGAAAAAGATAAACAAATGTTTTCATTTTAAAGAGTCCAACCCACTAACTGTGTCTGAACCTGGAGTTGCAGGTGGTGCAGGGACCGGACTGGGACCTGGAGGAGCATCAGTCGCACCAGGAGGTGGACAGTACTCTGCTGCTGCAAAAGCTGCTAAATATGGTACAAATAATTAACACACAGGTGAAGGGTTAAAGGAGAGAGAAATGCTGAACTATTTGTTTTATAGGGCATGTGTTGAAATGTCACTTTTATGTCATAAAAGTGTGTTGAGGTTGGTTTTTAAATGTGGGGGAGAGTTTAAAAGTGATGTGCAGTTTTTCGGTGTCCGTTCTGTTCACTAGGTGTTCAGTCAGGAGTTGGACCAGGAGGAGTTCAAACAGGTACATGATGTTCACTCTGATATATGATGCAGCTTCTCCAAGCTGCTGTTTTATACTGGAGATGCTTTCCAGAGACCTAAAAATATTTATTTTCCTTTAACGTTTTTAATTTCATATTTCTGGAATTATGTGGCAGAGAAACAGGTGGAAACAATTTGCGTGGTTTTCAAAATATTCTGTACCTGATTCAATACTTTATCAAACCACATTTTAGTCCAACTACAGCTGCAAGTCTTTGAGATTACTTTGGTCTAAATCTAATCCATGCCGTTGTAGTTCAGACTGTATGTTTAGGGTTTCTATTGCATCTAGCAGGTTTTCTTCCAGTATTCCTCTATTTAACTCTGTGTGATTAGCTTCCCTATCTCCACGTTAGAAAAATATGCCAAGAGCATAAACTGATCTGACCTTAGCACCTATTTCCCATTTGCTGTGTCTCCTTTATGCTTTGGGGAAAACTATAAACAGAATTTCTTCTTGGTTTCTTTTAACAATTAGTCTCGTCTTGCCACTCTGCCATAGCGGCTTTTGTGGCGAACGTGACTAATAGTCGTCTCTGATTGGTTCCCTCTTTGCTCGGTCTGCCGGTTTAGGAGGGAGGCCTTATCTTGGTAAACTTGGTAAAGTTTTGGTAAACTGTTTCACTCACTTCTAATTGGGTTTTATTTCGCCGATTCAGAGTAAAATGGGATGAACACCAATAGTGTCATAAACTTAAAGTTTAGCTTGTAAAAGGAATTTGGAAACAGCGTATTCTTCCTCCTTCCACGACGCAATCAATCGTTACTTTATCACGTAAAAACCCAATGAAATACATTCCAGTTTGTGAGTTTAATATGACAAAACATGCAAAGGTTTGAGGGCGATATATTCTTCTGAGAGACTGTGTCCTGTTCCTCCACCAGTGATGGAGTGTAATCACACAGCAGCAGCCGGCAGCACAGACTGTGTTCAAGCTCATCACAAATAGATACGTCGCTAATCTCTCTCCCAGAGGTCAAAGGCATGTTGGGCTGTGCTGCAGATGGTGCGAAAAAGTAAATAAATAAATAAAAAATTTAGGAAGCTGCCCATTTTATGTAGAAGAGACATTTTTCAAATTCAGTAAATAAAGAAAATGAGGTCAAGCTGTGCTGTATTCTGTTTGTATTTCTCTGATTGTTGCTGATTTAATTTACTTAATTTTTGTATTTATTTATTTATTTATTTATTATGTCATCTGGCTGAACATAATCCCACCAGTACCTGCTTTTTAAATCCACAGGTGTGGTTCCTGGTTATAGTGGAGGATACCCTCAGCAGTACTACCCAGGTACATAACTGTCTTCTTGTTACATTTTCTTTATGCTTATAAATCAGTGATGAATGTTATATATATTATGCTTTATATGTACATTTGTATTTTTGATAGAAACGACTGATTTGTCATGCCATGAATAAGCAGAGATAATTTCGTAATCAGCTGGAAACAGGGGCTTGTGTTCAGTGTCGCAGTCTGAAGCTGCATCCAGGCAGACATATATTATTGAACAGCTTTAATTTTTCATGTCTGTTTCTGGATCAGGTGGATTAATGCTGATCAGCCGCTTTTCATGAAATGTGAATAAAAAAAAGAAGTTATTGCATCATTCATATTTATAAATAATTTATTTAGAATAAAGGCTAAAAGAGGGATGAAGCCGTAAGCTACTGAAAATTGTCCTTTTTTTCCAGTAAATTAATATTTCTCTCATTTAACAAAGGAAGAAGAAACACAATTTTAAAATGTTTACTAGGGTTTATATATTAATAAGATTCAATTTATTTCTCTGCCTCTGTTTCTTGAAATTTTTACTAATCCCTATTCCAGATTTTCCAGATTTACATTTTGACCTGTCTATGTGAGACACATTGTTGAAGTCTGCTGTATTTTGTAGTTCAGCTCCATGATATAATATAAAATAAAAATATATTTAATCTTGTGACTGTATGATGTTAATGAAATTAATTTAATTTTAAATGTAGCTATTTTGGATTCATAAAGCTTGTCCTATTCAAAACCCACAGGATGGTTTATTTGTGTCTTATGTTTATAAAGAATTAAATTACTTTAAAAACAAAAATAAATGACAGTTTTAACTGCAAGATGTTTGCATAGTTATGTTTCATGGCGCAAGTTCTCTCTCGCTATCCTACTTAAGCAAATAGTGATCAAAGTTAATGTTCACAGATGTTTCTAAATATAATCCAATCGAGGGAACCACAAAATGTTTGGACACTTTGCAAAACAAGTGTCATGAGTCTTTCAGCTCATGACTCATACCACAAATGTAATCCACTAATATTAAATTTACACAAGTGCTGCTCATATGTTGTAGCAATGAGCCAATAAAAGCATTAATTGCCTCTGTCTGCGATGACTCACATCAGCATGCTGATTGCAGAAAGGAGCAATCAGCATGCTGATGTTCCTGATGGTGATGAGCTTCTGACATCACCATGTTTCTGTTTGGTTCTGTTAGTTATTATTTGACTAATTGGGAATACTCATAGACAGGTGAAGGCTTTGATACTAAGATGTCTTGTATTTCCTGTGTTTTTGATGTCGTTTAGGTCAATATGCGCCAGCCCCACTGACCCCGCAACAAGGTACCAAAGATCAACTTCATCACCTTGCTGCACATTTAATTACAGTCTGAGGGACCCATGATGTTCCTGTTCCTAATTCAGATGAACAGCTTAGAGATGACGACATTTATCCAATGTACCAATGTGTGTGTCAATAAATTTGTTGCTAAGATTTCATTAGATGACAAATGCAGAGCTTTAAAAAACTGAAGGAGTGAAAACAGCATGGAGCAAACATCTGGTTTATAACATAATACTAACACATCAATTAATTTAGCATAGGAAGTAGCATAGCTATAATAAAACAATGTTATTTGTTTCTTTTGTCATCTTGCAGCCAAGGCAGCAAAGTATGGTGCGCTGCAGGGCTTCCTTGGCGGAGGAGGCGGCGGAGGAGGCGGAGGCTTCTACAGAGGTGAGTGACAGTCTTTAAACCTCCACAGTTATTAAAACCTCTTGTAAAAATGTTTACAAAAGCCTTGAAAATGGAAAGGTTTGTTGATGCCACGACTGAATCTCACATAAAAATGAAGAAAAATCCAACTTTTCATTAGAGTTTATATAATAATGATTAGTATAAATAATTGTAGCCAAAGTATTTTCGGTGGTTTATACTCAGACTTTGTTAGTTGATTGGAGTGTCTACAAAGTTTTAGTTGGTAATCCAAGACTTTTTCTTTGTTCCTCCTAAAAATGGGGAAAAACAAGAGAGCATGGCAGTGAGCTATATAAAAACACTGATCATTTTGATCTTCGTGATTTCTTAATGCGGTATTTATTTTCACACTAAAGGTTGGATTTTTCTGCTTCTTCCATTGTACAAATGTGATTATTTCAGTGCAATAAGAACACACACAAAAAAAAACTGCAACCTTAACATGATTGATTATTGTCGAAGCCACTCCTTGGTAATGAACTAATAACTCTGCTTACTGCGGTGTTCCCTGTAGGTGGCGCTGCAGGATGCCAGGGTAAATACTGTGGGAGGAGGAAGTAGAGGGTCTCCAGATCCAGTGACCTCAAGAAACCATGGTGCTACTGCATGATCTAGAATGTACATTTTATATGCAAACAAAGCCCGATTAGACAACCTGTATAGATGTTTGTTGTTGCTTACTTGACTTTAATGTCTGTTTTTCTACAAACCCACCGACCCAGAATTTTGTACACGTTCTGTTGTGAACATACGTTATAGATAGTGCCTCTAAATAATCATGTATGTGTTCCAGTTAATCAGCTTTAACTCTTTGCACTCCGTCACAGGAGTTAGAAATGCTTCGTGTCTTCGGTGAGTGTGTGTGTGTGTGTGTGTGTGTTTTTATTGTGATGATCAGGCTGACCTTTGTGTTTTAATCCCTAAAACAAGTGGACGAGTCTCACCCGTCCGAGCAGAACCCGTCGCCTCTCGGGGAGGGTTGGTTTGGTCAAAGCTCGCCCAAACGCTGATCAGATCTGTCCAATCTGCTCCCCGCTCTTCCTCCGCTGCTATTTTTAGCCGTGCCGAGTGTAAAGCGGTGGGAGCTTGCTCGGGCCAACCCATCTGCTCTCTGAGATTTTGCTGATTCTTGTCGCTGTGCAGTGAAGTCTCCTCAGCACTTCCTGATCTTCGAAGAGCAGAAAGCTGAAGGCAATCGAAACGTCTTTTGATGCTTTACAGGGAGAGAAAAGCAGCTGGCTAGAAGTAGATGTCAGGCTGACATGGACTTTATGTGTGGTTGAATGTTGTGTGTTGTCTCATTTATGTTTTTTTTTGTTTTGTTTTGTTGTTTTGTTTTTTTTTTGCCTGTTTAATTGTTTGGACTCATAGCTTTATCGTTATCAGGAAAACATAAAACAAGAACAATCTTTTTGCATTTATCCTTTGTTACTAATTATTATTACAGGCTTTGTTTAATGGGGGAGGATGTGTGTTTATGTGAGGCATAAAAATCCTCTTGATTATTTACTTGAGCTGCTTTTATCAGGCTTTACTGACCAAAGGTTTCTGAGTGCTGTTGCCAATGTGACCGCATCTCTCCATGTGTAACTATGTACTGTATTTTTGACTAATTTTGATGTTAGCTGGCTTCAGTTTCTCTCACTCGGGGCTGGGTAAGAACTGTCTTTGAGCCTCGCCAGGTTGGACCATGTCAGATGTGACGTGGGATGCTCTTCATCTTTATTTAAAACTGTTTTCAGAAGGAGGAACGGTGTGGTTTTGCACTTTTTTTTTTTTAAATGATCTCCACGACACATGCGACTCGATCCTAGACATCCTGGCAATGTTTTTGCTTTAACAGATAACAAAATAAATGTGTTTAAAGAAGCTGTTTTCTTTTTGTTTGCTTGTCTCTTTCTTTAAACACCAGAACAACTCAGTTGATCAAAACCATGTTAGCTTTTCCAAATTTTTATAAAGACTAATAAAATTTATTGTTTTACAGCAGTATTTAGTTGAAACATACATTGAATAAAAACACATTCACCTTCTTTTCTCAATGTCTTAAGTTTATTTTAGGTCAGTTAGGATTAGCAAAATTATTTCTCTTTTAAATGCCACAATAACGAGAGAATATGTCACAGATTTATTTAGTTATGTCTTATATTAATGTCAAATGTGTCACTTAACATATCAGAAGTTTACAAAGTCGTGACATCATCAACGTGGCACATAAAGGTACTGTTTTACATTTTTATTGCAGCACAGCCACAAACTTAAACGGAATAATTGGGACTTTTAAGTATTGCATGAATGGAAAATAATGTTTACATCATATCTCCAGAAGCCGTCTAATTATGTCAAAAAGTTAAAGGATATGAATAGTTTTGCGAGGCACTGTGTAAGTCCTGCAGTTAGTGTCCTAGATGGAGATGATAAAGCCATGCTGCTGTTTCCTGAGGCTCTCCAGGGACAGACGCTGACCCTGGACTCACATCCTGCAAAAGAAGCTGACTCTGTTTTCTATCTGCAGCAGGGCTCCTGTGGAACCGTACAATGTTCACACTGTAGTTGTATAACTGGTGATCTACAACGACATAATTTCTGTCAAATGTCCTCAAATAAAAAATAGGATGAACGGAAGCTTGTAAACTTGGTCCCAAGTGTCAGAAGAGCACAGTTAAATGTATTTAAAAAAAACTGCTACAATAACTGGAGACTGGAAAGATGTTGCATAAAAATCTTTTGAAGAAAAAAAAAACACTTGTCCTCCATGTTTTCTTCCTACTGGTATAACTACTGGTTACATTCTGGATGATTTTAAGTAACTTGAAGTAACTACAGTGGTCTTGGATGGTAACTTATGTTAAGCCATTTGTTTTTCTATAAGGTGTAGACATTTCAAATCCGATTCAAAACTTTCCAGTCAAAAACAGCAGTTTTTTTCTTTTCTTTTCAGAATACCTTATATGGATACTTGCTTGCTTTCATCTAATTCGTTTAATTGATATGCGTCTTTCTGTTGTGACTGTGGCAGTAACGAAGCATTATTTTATCTTAAGACTCTCGAATGAGATATTGAAGGCTGATCACAGTTTTAGTTCTGTGTTTCCAGCTGTTTTTGTATCCTAAACAGTGATTAGATTATATGTTACAACGACTTGCCATATATAGATTCCTCTCTTCTTCTTCTCCCTCCCTCCGAATGGGAAACAAATCCTGAATTCATTAACTGGGGCGTGTTCCCGGTTGGCCAGCCTCTGTATTTTCCTCTCCCCGGCTCTGCCACTCCATTGGTCGGCGGATCTGTTGAATGAACCGCCGGAGAACCGAGCGAACAGCAGCGGGCAGGAGGAAGCAGCGTGGGCCGCTGCGGCTGCGGGGATCGACCGAGGCACAGCCAACACCAGCACCGGGGAAGCGCGCTGCGGTGGAGCCGCTGGGGGACGTCGGTTACTGGTTCTCTGTCGACCAGAGGTTCTCCGGAGGAGACCAGAGGAAAGTGAATGAGGTTGATGCTGCTTTGCTGCACCTGGAAGGACGAACGCATGGGAGAGGAAGAAGGTGAGGAGCTGGCTGCTGGGGTGGTGAGGGCGTTTAAAAGGCAGAGGACGCTGCAGACAGAGAGGCGATGAATGCGGAGTTGTGCTGTTATGTTTGACATCCACTGATCAGATGTGAATTTGTCAGCGTTTCACCCAAAGGGAGGCTTGTTTGGGCATGTTAGCGCTGATTCTGAAGCCGTGTTTTCCTCGAGTTGATGCATCCATCATGTTTGTGTGCACCAGAGACTCTCGCACCAAGCTCACTCTGCGTGTTCAACCAGTAAAAAACATGACTGTTTATGATCAGATTAAAGATGAACAACAAAACGGTGAAAAGACGAGACTCTTAGGTCTAAATGAAAAACAACTGCTTTTCTAAGTGCTTATTACCATTTGGGTGGGTAAAAAAAAGGACATCATTTCACAGAAATGTAGGGTTTAATATTAGCTTCTTATTTTGGTTGTGTTGTAGGTTTTTCATCTGTCCCTCTTGTATTAGACTGTGTTAGTCCTGTCCCCTCATGTTCTATGAATAGAACCGCGCAGACTTTGCATGTTTACATTTGCATTGCAATGATTCTGCAAGACATATGTGCTTCACCTGTACAGCTCATGCTGTGCGGGGGAAGATGAGGGTGTGTCTGTTTGCTTTTGCTATCTCGTCTTGACAAATGCAGCAAAGAAAGAATGACTCTTAGACATTCGACTTCAGAAACCAGTGAGTGTAGTAACCCTAAGCCTGTTTTGCCACTAAGCTCTTCTTTCCTTCATTTTTCAAAGAGATGGATGTCTTCCAAAGTCTCCTGTCTTTAGCTGCAGCCAATGCCTCCTCTGCAGTGAACGATGCCTCTCATATTAACTCATCCAAAGGGGTTTATTCTTCCTGAGACCAACTGTTTTTCTCATTAGCGAGAAGGAAGGGAGCCGTGAACAGCCCTTTGCAGGCCGCCCTCAACACTGAGGTCAGGTTAATGTTTGCACACGTCGCTTTGTGTTGTGCAGATTGCCAACTTTCAGGAAAACTGTTGTGCAACCTCAAGATCTCAGGCCTTCAATAATACATGAGCGACCACATTAATGCTACTTTATCCCATTAGCTGTTGTGATCTGCCAAAAATAAAAGGAAGCAAAGTCCTTAAAACATATGGAGAACTTGGATGCAAAATGGTTTGCTAGACGGGTGATGAATGATAAAGTAACCTTTGGGTTGGAAACATTTTAGTAAGAACAGCATCTTACCTTGTTTTACCTGTTGAGTAACTTGTTAAATAGTTCTGTGAAAATGCCTTTTTTTTTTACTGGAATCTCCAGGGAATCTCTTCCACTAAAAGTTTTCTAAAAGTTAGCCTCAACATTGAACATAAAACCTTATGAGAACCATCAGATAATGTTCCGTAGAGGCTTCTACAGTCGCAGTGTAACCTTTAAGAAATCATCCAGAAATGTCCTGCATTAGTTTCCTGAAGTCTGACCAGAACTTTTATGATATTCCATAAAGGTTTTATAAAGGTTAACTTCCCTCTGACTTACAGGACGTCATCTAAAGAGCAATTAGAGGGAGAGTTACTTTCGTGTTCACTGAAGGGAAACTAAATCTTTCACAGTGTAACCAATTGAGGGACTTTCCCTAAAAGATAGCTCGAAGATACCAACACCTTTCATGAAGTAATCTTCAGACAGGTTTATTGGAGCGTAGATACAACTTTTACAGGGACAGCTGTAAAATAAATTTTGCTGGACGATAA